AGAGAGTGAATTTCGAATAGGAGAGCGAATCACTTGTCGTGGAAACACAACATTTTCTGAACACATTTAAGGGAACCAATATTTTCATCAAATTTGCCGATGATTATTAATAAATATAAATTTACGAAGGTTTCGAAAACCATATTTTGGTCAATAATTAGTAAATTCTTTATTTAGAAAAATTATAAACACGTAAAAAGAGAAACGCATAAAAATGTTTGTACATATATAGGTATATGTTTTTTTTTTTCAGAGGAGAAAGCATCGAAAGCCTAACCCCGAAAAACCGTCAGTGTGAGACTTTAACCCACTAAACCCCCTACCGTCTATGTACTGATCCCGCCGGCACCACCGTTGAGTATTTCGTCGGGAGGCGGTTTGAGCACGGAGCTCTACGTCCGTTACTGTTCACATGATTCCACCCACAGTTCGTCTTGTTTTGGTATTAAACCTACCCACCCCCTTGGTATTTTACAACTAAGAAGTTCGATTCAAAGTCAATTAATGTCCGGGTACAGCGATTTATTGCTGCTTATAAAATTTTTTAGAGGTTCGCCCTCTTCGTGCCGTAACTTTTCTAGGAAAACAGGCTTTTTATCTGGCCTGAGCCAGATAGAATAATGTGGCTGCTTCCTACCTCGCCTGTCATTCTTGTCTGCGTCTCACTTGCTCGCTGTTGCGAAGTTTCTGCATAACTAGGGCACAAGTGGCTTTAAATTCCTTCCAAGCGTATTGGCTTTGCAGTGCCAGTGGGACTAGTGTTTCGGGTGTAACTACGCTGCCGAGACGTTGATTGAGCTTTTTTCTCTGGGTGCTGAATCGGGGACACGAAAAGAGTACGTGTTCCGCATCCCTTATTTCATCAGGACCACAGTAGTCGCAGTATGGACTGCTTTCATGTCCAAAGCGATGAAGGTAGGCCTTAAAACATCCATGCCCGCTAAGGAATTGTGTTAGGTAGGTTTGTCTGTGGATACATACATCGATATTAGGGATGAGGCGATGTGTCCACCTGAAATATGCTGTTTTATCGTCATAAAGAGGTGCGAATTGTTCCTGTGCTTATCCTTTCTTTTCCCAACTGCTTCCTACGCCAATAGGTCAAGTGGGAGCATCCCGGAGATGACAAGTGCTGCGTCTTCCAAAACTGTTCTGTATGCAGAGCATGATCTTAATACGTATAAGGGATAAGTTGCGTTCATACCCTGAACGTACGATGAGCGTTTAAATGCATCGTACCAGATTGTACATCCGTACATGAGTATGGATCTAACTACCCCTGCTAGTACTAGTCTAAACTGCTGCTTAGGCCCCCAATGTCTGCCATCAGTCTGGTCAAAGATGACGTCACGCTCGCCGCCTTCTCGTTGAAGTAGTTGAGATGATCTCGGAATCATAAGCGATGATCTATCAATACCCCGAGGTATTTTACGTAGGGCTTTGATGAGATGCCACTACCTCCGACAGTTAGTGTTACACCTTCCACTTTTTTGCGGCTGATTATAACGGCCGCTGTGGTGTAGTGGTAAGCAGTGCGCGCTTCCACTCCGCAGCGCCTGGGTTCAAGCCCTGGTCAAAGCAACATCGCAAATAAATTTAGAAAAAAGGTTTTTTCTTAGCAGTGGTCGCCGCTCGGCAGGCAATGGCAAACCTCCGAGTGTATTTCTGCCATGAAAAACAGCTCCTCATATAAATACAATCGCCGTTTGGAGTCGGCGTAAAACTGTAGGTCCCTCCACTTTTTGTGACAACATCAAGGCGCACGCCGCAAATCGGAGGAGAAGCTCGGCGAAACACTAACATATGTGTAAGCACCAATCTATTATTATTATTATTATAAGAACTGCTTCTGTTTTGTGCGTTGCAAGTGTGAGGGATCTCGCACATAGCCAATCTTGTGCCGCACTGATTGACATATATATATGTACCTTAGGGCGGGTCAATTTGTATGAATCGATTTTCTTCGACATCGTTCCTAGCATATCCGGATTCTTCATAAAATTCTAAGAAAAAAATTCCTCCAGACCATAGCTCGAATGTCAATTGTCGAAATTAATTGCTGTCCGTTAGTCTCGCTAAGACTCGAAAACGACTTGACCGATTTGAATATTTTTATTTTTGTAGTTTGTTTTCATAATATTCGGATGGTTAAAACCAGAAAAATAGAGAGTTGCCACCTGTGTAAAACTTTCAGTATAAGTAAATTAATTACATAAATTAATAAATTGTGATATTATCACAATATGGGTGCAAAAGAAAGAAGGCTTACAGGCGAAAATATTTTTGAGGGGGGTTGCCACCTGTTTTAAAATTTAATTAAATTAAATGGGTAAGATGAAGTAAATATTGCAATATGGTTATCAAATTAAAAAGGTTTAAGAAAGCTTACTGCTGAACATATTTTTGAGTCGGGTTGCCACCCGAAGCCGAAGTATTAGCCGAAGCTGGTTATAGAAATGTTCCACAATTGAACTAAAAAAAATGTGGCCTATGACTCTTTTAGAGAAGCTTTGTACACTGGAGTAAATTTTAAACAAAAAACAAAACCGACTTCAATTCTCATATACAAATTTACGAGTACCGTTAATTTCTTCATGGCCCAATTATCGGATCTACCCTCAATTAGTAGCAGACTACCTCTGAGGAACCACTTTTCCCTTAAAAATATAATAATTATAGAAAACAGGTAACGTAGTCCAAAGTTATGCGGTAACATACATAAAAAAATATTCCGACGAATTGATAAAATATGCGGATTAGAGTGGTTCATAAAAACACTATTTTTCGAAATTCATGATCGCTACATCAAAATATGGTTATTTGTGATAAAAAAGAGACACGTATATTTTATTTTGAAAAAAAAAAGTTTTCTTAGGGGTTTTTTATAAAAACGCTGAGGTTTAAATTTTTTTATTTTCTTGACATGTTAAAGTGCAGCTAAAAATTAGTTTTTTACATATAATTACTCTGGTATTATTGGGGAACTTTCCTTTAATTACGCACCTGTCTTGGACAATTAGAATTGGTCTAGTTCCCGAAAATATGCTCTCGAGAAGACACTAGTAAAATTAAAACGTTGATACTGAACGATTTACGCATTGTCATGGGTTGGAACTTGTTACCAGGGGGTTTATGGGGTTGCTAATTAGGAATCTGAAGTCAGTTTTTCGAAATTCAAAATGGCGGATCCAAAATGGCGGTCCATATTTTTTAAATGATTGGATTTGTTTGAAACCACAGATCAATATTTAATAAAGTGTTACGGATGTTTTTTTTTGTTTTTTAAACAAACCTGTGCTTGGGAGTTTATTGATACGAAAAATTAATTTCTGATATCTATTTTTTATTTAAAGAACCGCAAGATTGCTCTACAAAGCAAATTACAAATATATATACATTGTCGAACAAAAGTTTTGGCACAGTGAATTTTCGCATTACATATATGCAAAGTTTTTAATTTATTTCCGATAATTTTCTATAAAAACATAGTTCATACTACACCAAAACGCATAAATATCAAATGTGTAAACTTTGTGAAAAACTCAGGAAAATTCAATAAATCTGCCCACGAATTTGCAATTTTATATTCATATTTTCAACCAACTTCAAACTTGCACTTTGATAAACTAAAATTGAATGGATTTTTAATCTGCATACTTGGAATTTTTCTAAAAAATACTTTGCCAATATTGCGAAAAATTCACTGTGCCAATACTTATGTTCGTTATTGTAAGTAAGTAAAACTTTAACTTTAAAAAACCAAACAAAAAATAAAATTTTACAATATTTCAAAATTATTTTTCGAATCATACATTTTTTATGATTCATTATTTATAGTTTTTTTGGTTTTAGATCCTTTGTGCTTTCAACACGAGGTATCTGTTTTTTACTTTCTATTTTCATAGTCATAACTCCCTCTCTATTTTAAATGCGTCGTACCAGATTGTACATCCGTACATGAGTATGGATCTAACTACCCCTGCTAGTACTAGTCTAAACTGCTGCTTAGGTCCCCCAATGTCTGCCATCAGTCTGGAGTAGTTGAAGTAGTTGAGATGATCACGGAAGCATAATCCATGATCTATCAATACCCCGAGGTATGTTACGTATGGCTTCGATGAGATTCCACTCCCTCCGGCAGTTAGGGTTACACCTTCCACTTTTTTGCGGCTGATTATAACGGCCGCTGTGGTGTAGTGGTAAGCAGTGCGCGCTTCCACTCAGCAGTGCCTGGGTTCAAGCCCTGGTCAAAGCAACATCGCGAAAAAATTTAGAAAAAAGGTTTTTTCTTAGCAGCGGTCGCCGCTCGGCAGGCAATGGCAAACCTCCGAGTGTATTTCTGCCATGAAAAACAGCTCCTCATGTAAATACAATCGCCGTTCGGAGTCGGCGTAAAACTGTAGGTCCCACCACTTTGTGTGACAACATCAAGGCGCACGCCACAAATCGGAGGAGAAGCTCGGCCAAACACTAACATATGTGTAAGCACCAATCTATTATTATTATTATTATAAGAACTGCTTCTGTTTTGTGCGTTGCAAGTGTGAGGGATCTCGCACATAGCCATTCTTCTGCCGCACTGATTGACATATATATATGTACATTAGGGCGGGTCAATTTGTAAGAATCGATTTTTTCGACATCGTTCCTAGCATATCCGGATTCTTCATAAAATTCTAAGAAAAAGATTCCTCCAGACCATAGCTCTAATGTCAATTTCGAGCCTGCGCATTTTTAAAAGAATTAATAACTGTAACTAATGACTTTATTTTGAGAGAGGCTAAGAGCTTTCCTGTTAAATTGGTGGTTTTACTTGAGTTAGTAATAAATTCGCACTCGCAGCTTACAGCCGTCTTTTCTTTAATACGGTTCGCGTGGTTTGTATAGCAAACGTTTTTTCGCATGGTGCCGAAACCTGGGACGGCTGTGAATATTCTTAATTTTTATAATTTTAGCGGAGAATATTTTTGGTGCGAGCTAGGAAGCGACTTCTTTTAAAAATGGACTTAGTTTATCGCGCAACTTGCAGAACCCAACTGACCAAACTCTGCAATGCGGTAGAAGGCCAATTAAGGGCTGCTGCAGAAGGTGAAGTCGATAATTTGGTGGAAGCCCCTAATAATTATCTTCAGCGTATAAAAAACGTTCACGAAAAATCAAAAAGGGTAGATGAAGCGACATTAGCAGTCTTTGGCGATGACGAAAAAGAAAGGGAGCTGGAAACGGTATTTGAGTATGACGACAAAGCTGTAAGCATTATAGCGAAACTGGAATTTAAATTACAGCGTTTGTCAGCAGCGGATTCTCGAAAGATCCAAGAATCGGCCAATGGCGGTGAGCATGCCGATTATCGAGGAGCAAAACTAAAGCCGATGGAGCTCAAGAAATTTGATGGAAAATTGGAAAACTGGTTACCCTTATGGGAACAATATAAGCACGCTATACACGAAAATCCAAAATGGGACGTAGCCTCGAAATTTAACTACTTATGCGAAGCCCTCGTAGGTAAGGCAGCATCGACTATAGCGGGATTTATGCCAACGGAGAATTGCTACAAAGATGAAATCCAACTTCTGCTTGAAGAATACGGCGACAAAGACAAAATGATCGAGAAGTATATACAAAAGCTTCTGAGCGTAAAAATGGTACATTCAGCGAGTGATGTGAAAGGTTTGCGGTTCTTGTATAATGAAACAACATCCACAATGAGATCGCTCACTGCATTGGAAGTTCCCTCGTCGCAGTACAACATAATGGTAAACTCAGTTCTTCTGAAAGCTATACCTGCGGAGTTGGGCATTGAGTTTCATAAATCAAAAGGGAGAGCCTCAAATAAGCTTTCGAACTCTACAGTTTTCGACAAAGAGCATGAGAGTGCCGTTGATAGTGAGCAAATAACAAAGTTGCTGGAGTTTATAAAACTGGAAGTTGAAGCGCTGGAAAAAGCACATTTGTCAGAAGCAGAAAACAAAAGGAGCGACGCAGAGCGTAAAAACACAAAAATAGTTAACGGAACCGCTGTGGGCTTATATACCAGTACAAATGTAGTTCGCAAGCCGTGTATTTTTTGTAAACGATCAAATCACGACATAAAAGATTGCAAAGAAAACATGGACATCGAACAGCGAAAACATATATTAAAGCGAGAAGGTAGGTGTTATCGTTGCGCTAAGCCTAATCACAGTTCGAAGTTTTGCAAAAATCAATGGCTGAAATGCAACAACTGTAACGGCCGACATATAACGCCATTGTGCGAAGCTAAAACTAAAATATATGAAACTGCTATTCCTCCGTTGGGAGAGCATCAGACCTCCAGCAGTTCGGTCGCGGTGGTAAATAGTACCTCCACTACATTACATTCGGCAGCGCGTCCGGAAAATAATGATATTTATTTGCAAACCGCGAAAGCCATTTTGTCAAGCGAAACTAAAAGAGTGCTTTCACGAATAATAATGGACAATGGCAGTCAAGGCACCTACGTGAGCGAATCTTTGGCGAATTACCTGAAACTAACACTGTCGGTTACGACAAAGCCCGCATATTTGCATTCGGTGAAAATAACCAGCGAAAGCAGTTAACTCGGTTGAGACGCGTAAATGTCGAAGTGCAAAGTCAATATTCGGACCAGATGATTGAAATATGTGCTTCCGTGGTGCCTATAATATGCGCGGACGTTTTACCCGAGCCGCGCTTCGAGGGTCAATCGTTTATGCATTTGCAAGCAAAATTAACCGAAAATAGAATATCTAGCGAAAACTTAATTGGTGGCATTAATCTTCTAATTGGCCAAGATAACTATTGGAAATTTCACCTGGGTACTAACGATAATATCGGTGAGAATTTAATGGCAGTAGATACTTTCTTTGGATGGACCATACAAGGCTGCTGCGGCTACAATGAGAATTCTAAGTGCGCGTTAAGCATAATCGAGAATCGCGAAGAGCAAGTAGATGTTACCAAGTTTTGGGACTTAGAAGCTATCGGTATCGCAGTTTATAATGAAAACGCATCCGCTGTGCATGACGTGAAAATCGAAAAAATAGGAATGCGCTATTCGTTGAGTTTGCCATGGAAGATTCCGAAAGAGACTTTACATAATAACAAATCGAATGCACTGAACCATCTCCGTGGGCTAACGATTAAACTAATGAAAAATCGCGAAAAATTAATTGAGTACGACTGCGGTATCAGAGAACTCCTTAATGCCGGAATCGCGGAGCGCGTATTAGCTAATCATAATGATCAAATCGCTTATTATATGCCTCATCGACCAGTATACAGAGAAGACAAAACAACAACGAAAATGCGTATTGTTTTCGACGCATCCTCAAGTGAAAATGACCTCGCTTCCCTTAATGACCATCTAAGCCCAGGTGAGAATTTAATGGCTGATTCGGTGCTACCATATTGCGATAGTTGCTGACATCGAGAAGGCGTTCTTACAAATATCCATTGATGAAGCAGATCGAGATACACACCGATTCTTGTGGTACGAGACGTTACCAGAATCGTTTTCGAAATTGCCCCCAGTCGTTGAATTACGTATGTCAAGAGTAACATTTGGAGTAACGTCTAGCCCGTTTTTGCTTGCTGCCACTATTCAAACGCACTTGAAATTTAATAAGCCGAATTATGGCAAGATTTGCGACACATTGCAGAAGTCGTTTTATGTAGATGACTTGGTTACGAGAGTAAAGTCATCACAGGATGCCGAGCTTCTATTCCGCGGTGCGATGACTATTATGAAAGCCGGCGGATTCAATTTACGTAAGTGGAACAGTAACGATATTGATTTGAAACGACGATTCTCTCTTGGCGAATGTGATGGTTTGCTGATTAATCAAAAGGTACTTGGAATAAATTGGGATACTTATAGTGATGAAATAAACGTGGACATAGAAGACGCATAGCAGTATGTCAAATGCCTGAAACCAATCAAGCGTAGTGTTATGAAAGCGATGGCGAAGGTTTACGATCCGCTGGGATTCCTGGGGACATTTACGGTCAATATAAAAATTTTGCTACAGAGAATATGGAAAGAAAATGTAGATTGGGATCAACCGCTGTCCGAAGAATTTGCTAATAAATTTCAAAGTTGGTGCAGTGATTTATCGTGTTTAAAGCAATTCTCCATGCCGAGAGCTTTGATCAAATTCGTCGACTCAAGGGTTGAACTGCATATTTTTGCAGACGCTAGTCCATCAGCTTATGGAGTGGTGGCTTATATCCGTGACATAAGTGCTCTCGGAGAGATTTCAGTAAAATTCATTTGCTCAAAGAACAGGGTAAGCCCCTTGAAGGGAACTTCGTCATCTGAACTTTCCCTACCGAAGCTGCGTTGATAGCTGCCCGGTTGAAGGGTTTTTTGGTTTCAACTTTGGATGTCGAATTCTCATCTATTAACTTATGGACGGATTCAAATATCGCACTGAATTGGATAAACGGAAATGGCAATCGCTCGAATCAACACGTAAAGTCCAAGGTAATTGAAATTAATAAGCTAACTAATTTATACGACTGGAGACATTGTGAAGGCAAAAATAACCCAGCTGACCTTTTAACTAGAGGCATCACAGCAAAATCATTACTTAGTTCTGATTTATGGAAATTAGGTCCATTTTGGCTATTGGAGGATGCTTCTAGCTGGAAAAGCGATGTTCATACAACCCTGCTGACAAGTGCTCCTACACCGATTAATAGAGAGATTTCCACTAAAGAACCATTGTTTCAGATAAAAGATTACAGCTCTCTCCAGCGCGTTCTACGTATAACGGCGTATATCTTTATTTTTCTTATACGTATCAAACTTAGTATGGAAAAACGTACTAAGAGTGAGTGGACAGAGGCTATCGGATCCTGCGAAATCGGCACGGAAGATTTTCAGGAAGCTGAAAACTATTGGATCAAAGTGGAGCAGCAATCGTTCTACGGAGATGAATTCCAGACTTTGCTGAAAGGGCAAAAGCTGCCATCACATTCAAAAATAATTAGTCTTAACCCTATTTTAGTTGATGGAATCCTTCGCCTATCCGGGCGTTTACCACCTGAAGAGTTTGGCCAATTATGTAACCCGATCTTGCTGCCTAAGGAGTCACACTTAACTCGTTTAATAATACTGGATACGCATCAGCGGATGATGCACTGCGGTGTTAACGCAACGTTAACAAAGATAAGGAAGCGATTCTGGGTCGTACAAGGTCGCCAGCTTATCAAATCCATCCTGAAACGCTGCGTTATTTGCAAAAGGTTGCATGGAAAAAGTGCATCAGAACCTTGGGCCATTCTACCAGTGAATGGCCACGAGCAGGCCATTTGAGACAACGGGATTAGACTTTGCTGGTCCACTCTATGTGGCTGCCGACAATAGAGATACGTTGAAAAAAGTTTACATAATGCTCTTTACTTGTGGCGCTGTTCGAGCAGTACATTTAGAGCTGGTGGATAACATGACTGTGAATAGCTGTATTAATTCCTTGCGCAGGTTCATCGCTAGGCGAGGAGTGCCAGCCACCATTATATCGGACAATGCCAAGACGTTTAAGAGAGCTGATCGTGAGTTGCAGACGCTTGAACGTATGATGAGCCGAAATGAAGTCCAGCGGCTCGCCGCGAAACATGGTATTAAATGGAAATTTATTCCGGAACGAGCAGCATGGTGGGGAGGCTTCTGGGAGAGATTGGTGAAAATGGTAAAGGATTGTCTAAAATCAGCTAGTGGTAAGCCCAAACTTTCTTATTCTGTCTTGACAACCCTAGTAACGGAGGCAGAGAGCGTGGTAAACCAAAGGCCACCCACGTATGTATCAGGTGACCCGAACGACTTACAACCTTTAACCCCAGCGCATTTTTTGGGCGACTGCGGTATACTGGGAGGCGAAAATTTTACTTCAGATGACGGTTCGATCAACAAAATGTGGCAGACAAGAAGGTTATTACTTAAGCGATATTTAAAACGTTGGCGTAACGAGTATCTGTGCCAACTTCGCACGATTCATTTCAACAAAACCAATCCGGCACGTAGCATAAAAGCAGGCGATGTTGTTTTGGTTAAGAGCGATCACCAGTCGAGGCTGTTATGGAAGCTAGCTGTCGTAATATCTGTGTATATGGGTCGAGATGGTCGTATTCGAGCTTGCGACGTAAGGCTGCAGGACCGGCAAGTCCTTAGGAGGCCGATCCAGCTTTTATTCCCCCTAGAAATCCAAGCAGTCATGGTGGGGCCCGAGGATGTCAATTAATAGCTGTAACTAATTACTTTATTTTGAGGGAGGCTAAGATCCTGTTAAATTGGTGGTTTTACTTGAGTTAGTAATAAATTCACACTCGCAGCATACAGCCGTCTTTTCTTTAATACGGTTCACGTGGTTTGTATAGCAAACGTTTTTTCACATATCTTATGTACAGGGAACGGATTTTATGGAAATTGCCTTTTTTTCTGCTAAAGAGATAGAGTATATTCGATTAACAATGTCCACGATTTAGCTTTCCCTGATTCCATATATACACATTTGAAGTTGCCTTTTTTTGCCTTTTTTAAGATATTTGCCTTTTTTTTTGCCTTTTTTAAGATATTTGCCTTTTTTTGCCTTTTCTACCTTTAAAAAAGTGATTATAGCATTTACAATTTTTTTTTTAAGATTAAAAAATATTCACATGCACATGCGGCTTATAGAAGCACAGGGACCTCTTGCCAAACTGGTGTTGAAAAAATTCAAAAATAATAAAATAAAATTGTAAAGGGCGAGGAAAGCGCTGTTATTTCTGATAATATGAACGTTTCAAACGTTCCATATTTAAATTGGGCTCCACTTGTATCAACTTACGTCGAGCGCACATTTAGTACATTCGAGGCTTTTCTTCGCGAAAATCTAATGAAAATGCTGCCAGAAAACTTCAAAATGCATCTTGTGGTTCAAT